AGGAACTTTAGGATGTTACCTCATGAAAAGACTGAAATTTTAGGTTGTAAGTCAGTAAAACTGCTTTATTTTATTCCAATGCTGCCTACTGTTGTACAATCTATGATGTTTCATTTACATGCAGACCTACCTTACTGCGGACTTAAACGGCTAAATTCAGAATCCAGATGCTGGTTTGCCCAATACCCTGCTCCTTTTCCAATTTGTGTTGCAAGAGTACGGTCGAGTTTCATCCACAACAATTTACCCGTAATGAGAACAAATGAGTGTTCTTACCCAAGCCTTGTTCGCTTTTGCACACGCGAAGAATTACGCCAGACAAGCTTTCTTAGGAAATTGGGTCATTGTTCAAGTAATAAATTGCGTAACTCCTTACAATGCATTACAAGACACCCTCGGAATGTCCCACGAGACCACGACTCAAAAGTTCAAATAACGCATTTGAAAAAATAGCTTGAATGAAAATCTTGTGTGACTCGTAGGTTTATTTATGATAACAGACAACGAATACCTTACATTATTACAATACCTTTAAAATATTACCAAAAAAAAATGGGTGCTCGATTCCCACGATCCGGGACTGCCATATTCTTTGGATTGTCGCACGATTGGATTGTCACGTAATGTCACGAAAAATACCACAGCATTAATGATGATTTGCGTGAATTGTAGCGGCTGAAATTCTTTACAAACTAATTTTGTTTTCAATTTGATGATAATGTGCGGTGGAAGATTGTATGAATTTGAAAACGGGGCCTATTACAATGCTTTTCGTTTACATAATTTGGTGCCCGGCCCTGACTAGATGATGACATTCTTTTTGGCTAAGTCTACGAAATCGAATTTTGTAAATTATCCGAAATTTATTCTGGAATTTCCAGACCTCCTATCGATAGCTCTTAATTACTATGCCACTTACCTTATGATAATTAAGATTATCGACAGAACCACATGTGTTTTAAAAGACGCCAAATCAAGCCATTGATTGCTGTTTATTTCAGGATACCAGGCAGGTATGTCAAAGGCGTATTCTTTTCTTTTGTAATTGTATACGGAAGAGGAGTAAATTGATAGCTGATAATTACTTTAAAACGGTGAAAAACTCCGTGACAACCAACTGTCTGAGAAAATGCTCCGTAGGTAAAATTTGCACGGGCATTAGGATAACATTAAGTTTTCTCTCTGTGCAAGTCAAGTGAAAAATACGCGGGGAAAAAGCGGATAAAAAGGGGATACAATATCACAGAAACTTAAAACGTACCTGAAAAGGAAAAGTTCGTTTTATTGTGCAGACGACACTAATTCTGATGATTTTATTCATCAGGGGAAAAAAACAGGCTAAACGCATATTTAATTGCTGGTGGTGCGGGTTGTTTTGGTTAAAAAACTGCCATGAAGGGAAAAAAAATTAAGTTGTTACTTTGCCTCAAGACCCCAATGACTAAACTACAACTACAACTTCCATGAAACAGTAATTAAAAACGCTGAATATCTTTCTGAAAATTTAATGTATTTTTAAAGTAAGGCCGCTAGGAAAAAGAACCACAGAAATCTTCTTAAGAAATCATAAATCACTGAGGTTACATTGATTATCCCCTTTGACAAGGAAAACAAACTTAATTTTGTATGATTCAAGACCGAAAATAATACCCTGAAATATTACCAAGCGAGATAAAATACGATCGCTTTATCCTAAACGTTTCTCATGCCTGTTAGAGAAAATCTCCAGCCTCTATAATATTCCTTTCCCATCTCAGATCCTTTTTCTCTCTTTACAATACCTTCATTTATATAGAGGAGCTGTATGGCTGAAAATATTTCGGCTAAAATCATTGATATAGAGATAATCAGAGGAAATGATATATCTTTTTTTTTTTTAACAATTTTTAAATATCACCATTCAATGCTCTGTTTCTTTTGAAACCTCCGCGCTTTCGAGGCTCTGTTATCATATTCAGTCATAGGTGTGTGACTGTTTGCTCCCTTAACAAACTTCTTTTGTTTTCTACCGTATGAGAAAGTTTACGTGGTAGTTAGAACTAGAAGATTTAAAATAAGCATAACGTTTATCTATTCAACAACAGTTGAACAACCCTGTAAAAATGATAATTTAATCCCCTTTTCCAGAGTTTCCTACATGGCCGGCCTAAAGGCCAATTATACTCAGTCATTCTACTTCTCTACTGAAACGTTTAAAATAGGGCTAGCTTTTAAGGCTATCAGTCACGCGCATGACATAAGTGATACCGCAGAGAATATACCTGGCTTACAAAAATGTCTCGCTGATAAGGGACAAGAGGATTTTGTAGGGATCACGTGGCTTTCAGAGGGAATGGAGTGGGGATCAGTAGCCACCAACCGACCCTTAAGGGAGAACTATAGAGAACTAACTGCCTATAAGGGAATATCACAGGGCCTTATGCGGGATCAGGTAAATTTACCGTGACAGAAACAAAATCTTAATAACCTGCCGCCCCCCACTCTCCGTGTTTCTGAAATAGCCAATAGTTTTAGAAGTCCTCCACAAATTACTCAATATCTTTATCAAATAATATAATCTCTGAAAAGTCGCTTTCAATGATTTATCATATACAAACGGCATCAACAGAAACAGGAACTAACGCGAAATATCAAATGCAAAGAAAATATTCCCAGAAGTCTTATGGTGAGTTTCTGGCTGTGCTCCTAATGGTATTTTATCCGTGATCAACACATACAATCTGTACAAAGGCAGATCCAGTGCATTATAATTTGATATGGCCTCTTTATTAACCTATTGTCTCTTGCATCGCGTGGTATTTTTAGCTATTTTGGCACTGATGTTCTCGCCTTTCAACTAACATCACATCATACATCTAATTATAGGATTTACGATCATGACAGGGAATTCAAACGGTAGAGTCACAATCTCGAGGGATTTGTACCAAAAATAGCCTGTGTTAAAGAGAAACTTCTCAACCCTTGAGTACAAAAAAAAGTGGATGATATTTCTATACATGAACTGGTATCCAGTAAAATAAAAAATTAAAGTGTATAACTGCGGCTTGCCTCTCGAAATGGCGCGACTTCTACCAGCACGTTCAGATAAGCAGAGTAGGGCTTTCACTTATGGGATATAAAGGAAGCGTCTAAGTAGTCTCAGTGACAGGGTTTAGTTTGCTTAACCCTCCACATGAATGCGTAGACAACAATGGTTGTTCATTGTTACTATCCATTTGATTGCATGCAGCCATGCAGTGAAATTATGTCAGCTTTGAAACTTAGTGTGTCAAGCATACGTGAGACTTATCCCTCTGTTCGTTCTTTCCTTCAACTGTAAGAGAATTCCTTTTCGTATTTTCAGGATGTCGGGAAACCGCTTGAACGTTACTCAGCACATGATTTAAATAGAAGAGAAAATAAAATTCTGGAAGAGAATTCAATTAGTAATGGGTGGTCCTGGGTGGATAAGTTTATCTCTAACTAGTGGTGCCTTTACTAAGTCTGTAACGACATTTATTTACTCCGGTTTTTCATTTCCTTCAGCTAGCACGTAAATTGATTGATTAAAAGCGCAGATATAGCAAATACTACGCTTTCACAAAAGAATTATCTTTTTTGTACTCAATTACTTCCGGCCGGCTGTGATAAACATGAATGCATGTGTTGCACGAAACCCACTCATTACATATTTCACACGCCTTTATAAGCTGGTTCAAAATGTATCAATGATCAAGTGCCTTTCAAGCCATCTACACGCACGTGTTTGAGACATATCAAAGATACAAAGTATACGAGGGTTTTACAAATCGAAAATAGTTGGAAAGGGAACAAAGCGGATCATCATTGACAACACCCAGTGTCCGACCATTTCTTTGTTAGGCGCCAACAAGACTTCGTTTCATTGCGACAAAACTGGTAACAAATTAAGATCAACAGCTTAAGAGCTAAGAGCATCTCTCAGAAACGTGCAAGAATTCAAAAGAATTCAGTTAAATATAACTCTTAATTGAGAATGACTGAAGAGATGTTTTCATCTAAGACAATGGAAAGAAGTTCAAGCAATTAAACTACCACCCTACTTGTTTTATTTCTTGGCATATGTCAATGGAATATAAATTTGTGTGTTAAAACCCTAATCGAACCACTATGAACAACGATCACTTTTATACATTAATCAATGTTTTCGGGGTCCTAAAAATAAGGGCGTTCTAAAATCATGCCCGATGTTCTACAGATAATATTGAATAAATATTTTCGTTGCATAAAAGACTTTGCTCGAGTTGCTTGCTCCGGACGCACAAAGAATTATTTTTGGCTACCCAAATGTCAAGGATATCACATCGCACAAATCAGATTATTTCATAGTGATGACTGTTTTATATGTGAATCGGGATTAAGCGGATAGGCTTGAAAAGAGATTACTTGGTAAAACAAGCCAGTGGGCACGGTCGCTTGTTCTTAAAAGTGATCCATCATCCTGTTTTAAGTTATCCGAATAGAAGCATGAAAGATATTTGTAACTGTATGACGAGTCGAAAGAATCCTTATCAATCAAGTGTCCCCAAAATGTTTATGTTCGGCCGACGCAACACGCAAACGGAAATGTTTAGGTGTCTCAAAACGTTGACAATTATAAATGTCTACCGGCCATCAATAAACACAATGATTAAATTAGTGCAAAGAAAAATACTACCACAGGGGACCGGTCATTATCGTCTGGGGGGGGAGGGGACGTGAGGTTGGGAGGATTTTGGATGACTCATAATAAAAATTTACCTGATCCCTTTATAGGGCTCTGTGATGTTCTTACAGTCGCCTTCTCCCTCATTGGCAGTTGATTTGTAGCCAATTTTCTATAGCCCCCCGTCCCCTATATACTTTATTGGCGACGACTGATCCCCCTTTTATTCCCCCTGAATATTTTGTGATCCACCCCCAAAGTCCTCCACCTTCCCCCCCCCCCCCCACACCCTCAGATCATTTGCAATGATCCTATAGACTTCTGCCAGGAGCCCATGAGTTCTTGCTTTCTGCAACGTAACTAAGGAAAAGAAATACACAAGATCCTATCAAAACAATACGTTCCAGTTGTTCTATCCAATCAGAAAACTGACTCGTTAGCACGTTCTGACCCTTTAAAGAGTAAACGCGGGCTCGGTCTCAACTGGGAACATGTGTTGGTACCGATCCCATGGCCTTGAAACGTCAGGTGTACTGTATGCTCTGATTTGATCCTGAAGTCTCGTTATAGGGTAATAACCTTTCTCTCATCCTCTCTTCATTCACGTCATTGAACTTGACCCAGTTTACGGTATACATAACAATCGCAGCAATCAACGCCACGCCGCCTGTGACGTAAAAAGATACATTGTAATTTTTTGAGGCGTCAAAAATCCATCCAACCATGGGTGGGCCTAATGTTTTGGGGAACGCCATTAAACAGTATAAAGCACCTATGGCATGCCCAACGTTTTTCACACCAACAATGTCACGCGTTATAACGGGCAGTAACATCTCGTAACAACCGTCGCACACACCTAACGTAAACGCGTACACGGCTATCCACTCGTATTTCGTTGCCATGGTTACAGCAGGCGTAGAAATAGCTATGCATAGTAAGGTGGCTTGACAAACTTTAACGCGGTTGAACTGAGGGTAATCACATAGCGCACCGAGCACCAAACTTCCCAGCAAACCTCCGATTGCTGAGTAACCTGTCAGAAATGACGCACTAGACTTGGTGACTCCTTTATCTTCTGCGAAGCGAACCTGAAAGATAAATCAGTGAGGTGGTTAGCGAGCGAGACCATATCCCCACAACGCAAATAGTCACTGTTACCTGGCACAGAAAGCTAGTAAGAATGGAGGCCGATGAAAGTTGTGTGACCAACAACTTGCACGGGGAGCAGAACAAAGAGACTAATGTTAGCTGACAATTTTTAATTCCCCTCCTCCTAAAAATAAATCAGAAAAGCAAGTAGCTTCGTCTTTGACTCGTAAAAATAATATTCATTGATCACTAGTAGCTCCGCTTGCTTGACGATCTTCCTCACTTTATTGCGGTCATGAAGGGCGTTTCAACCGTGACATTAGATTTATGTCTATTTATAACTTCGCAAAAGGTAAAACCAAGTTTTCCAAAGAATTAAAAAGATCTTACCAAATGGACGAAAGGCACAAGAAACACCACCATAAAGATGCATTGAGCCACAACCCAGATAATATACGCTTTGCTCCTGAAAAAACGCAAGTCGAATTCTCTGTTACGCGGCTGTTGATTTCTACTTGTTACCGAGGAGAGAGGGGAAAACGTCAAGGCGCTCAGAAGCATGAAACTCTGAAGACCTGCAAGAATCCGAAACATAGTTGAGATGCCAAATTTGGGAGACAGCTTCTCAATTGGGCCGTAAACCAGAGTCCCAGATGCAGCTCCTGCCAGAGCTATTCCCGAAACAAGAGCCAAGCGCCTTTTAAAGTACTTCGTTAGGATTACCAGCGAGGGGAAAAAGCCAAGACTTGCCCCCAAACCCCAGACAACTCCATAGGTTGCATAAAGCGGTGCAATTGTTGTTGCGAAGGAACTGGCTAGGAGACCTGCGGCTGACACAAAAGATCCAATGATGACAACCAATCGGCTTCCGAAACGTTCCGCGAGAGAGGTGCCCACACCAGCGAACAGATACATCATACTGGACGCCAGCGAGGCAACCCAAGCTATGAAGGAAAACAAAAGTTACTCCTTTGACTGTTTGGTGTGAAATAATCAGCGATTGAGTTCCGCCAGCCATCTTATATAGGAGCGCACTTGTTGGATTTTCGCCCTCGGGATGCGTGCAGTGTGATTCGGGATAGAGAATTCTTGTGATCAGTTTCGGAAATCTCTGAGGGAAAGGGTGTTGTAACGCAGTATCCTAACTCAATTGACTCATCTTAATCACTGAAAAATATAGAATAGTATATCTTTTACCTGTCTCTCCTCTTGATGTAGAATATTTTTCCATCAAAGCATCATAAACAACTCCCGCGCAATTTTGTTGTCCAACAGTCAGGAAGTTCACCATAAACACACCCAGACAAACGACCCATCCCCAACCTCCGTCGGGAGGAGGATCATTGTCATTTGTTTCCGTCACTTTCTGTTTTGAAGGTGCACTAGAAATATCGGACTTTTCTTCATAGTTGTTGCACGCCATTTTAACGTTTTCACTGATTGTTTTTAGTCTGAATTAACTGCAAAGATAAATTCACAGATCAAGAGTTAAGCCTATTGTGCCCCAGCAGAAGTTTATAGAAAGATTGCTTGACGATTTAAGATGAATGGCATTCAAGTTGAGGACAAGAGAAACAAACAAGAAACTTGTTAACTGGCGTATGGTAGTTGAGAAATATATCTTTCAACAGTAGCCGTTTTTGCATTATTATTGCGCGAGCGTTAGCGAGCTTGACTTCCCGTGTGGGGTCTGGGCTCTGTATGTGCGTTTAAAACATTACTTGTTCGGTTACGAGAGAGTTATCCATTTGTTGATTTATTATGTAACAAATCAAATATAGGTAAGAAAATTGTGAAGAGATATTGTTAAAGCACTTAGAATTGACTTCAAAACAATTCACAATGGCTTGAGCTTTTTAGATGTATATCCTGATAATATACAGTTTTAAATGTCATATAGCTTCTAAAATTAATTAGTGATTCCCTTATGTCTTTGTTCACTCCAAGAGATGTTAATTTCTAAGACAAACAAATCAAAGATATGTGAAATTACCATCGTATAGCTCTTATCAATTTTCCGGTTCCTGTAACTTGTTGAACTTCAAAGAGCAATATTAATATAACTATTTACATTTCGTTCTTAGTGTTCACACAATGACCAAAATCCAGAACAAAAGGAAATAAAAATACCGTAAACTTTGCAGAGGCTATTTGCCTTTACTATCAGTGTTTCATTTTGCTTTGATTTACATGAAAAATCGTTAGCGATGTACTCAAAAAAACCTGCCACGTAATTTTAGTTGACTTTGGCAATACTTTTTGTAAATGTATAGTTGTGCAAATAACGCTTGTTGTCGTTGCTGTTGTATTTCGTTCGTCCCCTCGCACCACTTAACTTGTCATTAGCAACCACTAGTCATAATGATAACAATTTCGAGGTAGCATCGTAGTGTCACGTAACACTGTATTTTCTGAAGAGAGAATCTATATTTTGTTGTCAAGAATGAATTCGAATTTGGCTCGGTTTTACATAAGCTCTTTTGTGTGGCTCTAATAGTTTTTTTCTTCTTTGTTCTTGTCGCTCACGTCGCACAGTTCACTTTCTCGGCAGAATAAAAATAATGCAACCGCAGACATGGACAAATCTGGCGCATGAATACTTCCGACAGCACCACGCGAGGAGAAGATGCAGCAACCATTCGGTTCGTTTTAAAAACAGCAACTTTACCGAGAATATCCATCTTGTCCGCGCGAAAAAGTCTTGAGATTTTGAAAACGCGTTGCAATGACTTGAACTGCAGTCACACTGAGCGACCCGTCGAGGCGACCTGTCACAATGAATTGTGTTGCTACCTCCATTCCCTTGCGCTTTGACGCACTGGAACTTTAGGATGTTACTGCATGAAAAGACTGAAATTTTAGGTTGTAAGTCAGTAAAACTGCTTTATTTTATCCCAATGCTGCCTACTGTTATACAATTTACCAGAGATTTAACCTACTGCTACCATGTGTAACCAATCAGCAAATTAGCTCTTTCTTGATGTTTCATTTGCTTGGAGACAGGGAGCCCAATACCCGGAGCCTCCATACCAATTGTACCCTTAAGTCAACCCTGTCCCGTATCTTTCTATTTTTAGAACTGAGATACGTGGGGGGTTCTTTAATTTCCCGCGAAAACACGCTGACGTTCGCAGAACACCCTAAAAAAAAATGATAAATTTTCCGCGCTTTTCGCCATTCTTGAAATACTTTCATGCGGCCGGTGACATAAACAATAGAGGACCACAGCACAGACAGGGACAGGGTTGACTCAGAGGGTAAGTGTGGAAGATGGAAGCTCCGGATAATGGGCTCCTGCTTGTAGACCTACCTTACTGCGAACTTAAAGGGTTACTGACGCCAAATTTTGCTCCTTTTTTTTTTTTTGGTCCCAATACATTCCTCTTTGGTTAAGAAATCCTAAATGAGCAAATCAACAATATATTGTGCAAAATCAAATTTTCTACAATTTTTTTTTGACGCTTAATCGACGGCCATTTTGAAAACGGTCCGAGTCAGGTCACGTGATGCGATAGTCACATGTGTACAAGGTAGTGAAAAGCGTCATGTCAAGACCTGACAGTAACAACTTCGTCTCACCTGTTCAATTGCTGCCCAAATTTACGAGCGAAAAAAATAAGATTCGTTCCATTCTGTTATAGGCCACCATTTAGAGACTACGAAATACGGAGTGAGAAATAAAATAACGAAGGCTGAATAATCGAAACGCGACGGATCGCATGTTTGTATTCAGCGCCACAGGTAATTTGCACGCCATTTCAAACAGCTGTAAAAAAATATATGTTCCCATAATTTTTTCCTCTTAACCATTATCGAGTCCTATACTTGAAAAATGTTTTTTATTCCAAGCCGAAAAGTATTGACTTTAGATTTTGTCCGTTGTATATCACTGTGACGTCAGGCCCATCGGTTCTGGAAGGAGCGTGACTAAAGGAAGGTACGTCTTTTATTGGGGGTGGGTTAAGTCGGGGTATTTTAGAAATTTTTTGCGAAAAAAATCGTGACCCTCCCACTTCCCAGAATGGATTAATGCATGACCCTTCAAAAATACCCACACAAAAACATCTGACCCTCCCTCCCACCTCCTCCGAGACAAACATAACCGGAAGAGAAAATAACTAACCGGAAGTGTTACTCACATTACCGCGTCTGTGTACAAAGAAATTAATTGCGTGGCGTGTGATTGCATTGTGTTAACTTGAAAATGGACAATGATGTACGAGGAATAGAAAGAGGGAAATACGCTTGTGGAGAATGCGAGGATTTCATGAGGTCAGATGGAACAACTTGTGGCTATTGTGGCTGTTTGCCGACACGCCTTTCTAAAAAGGATGCTTGCTACTCCTCTTACTCTGTTGGTGGCATATCGGGTTCGGGAACAAGTGAAAGTGCAAGTCCAGAGAAGTAGAAAGATGAAGATCTGGGGTGGTTCCCGAACCCAAAGGGCGAATAAACTGATTTCTCCAATAGTATTCTGCCAAAATTCTACCTGTCCTTTTGGACCACTTGTCCCTACAAGGAACGCTTTCGCCGCTGTTTCGTGACTGAAAGAAAACGCCAGTGGGAGGTTCGCGAGGCGTTGAAAGCAATAAATCAAGGAGAAGAAGAAAGAGGAGATTGAAAGGGAGCGAATGGAACGGCTGAACCGAGAGTACAATGACATTGACTGGGTTGGACTGTACAACTCCGATAAGCTGTCGTCCTTGAGGGTGGACGAGCTATCCTTGTACTTTTCCATCACAAGGTCACCTTCAAAGGGAAGAAAGCTGAAAAGGTCGCAATGATTGAGCAGCATATACATTCGTGTGCCTAACTTTCGTTAACTTCCAATGGAAGTGAACAATAACAGAAACATGCTGCAAACGGATGTTACAAGAAACGCCTTATTATGAGCGGTAACCGGTCAAGTCGCCTGAGAGTCATCTCGCCCGAAACCTGAGTCATGTTGCCCGAAATTTTAGTAATGTCGCCCGAAAAAAAGGTCAAGCCACCCGAAGAAACAAATACTAAAAAGATCAGAATTTCAGACTGTTAATAGGCAATAACGTTGAGAAATTTTAATCACTAAAGCGCTCTTTGTTTCCCACAACACCATGAAGATTCTTAAAGCGTTGTTCGTTCCTAGCAACAAAGGGAAACGTTGTTCGTTTCCAACAACAAAATGCAGCGTTGTTCGTTTGGTATGTAATCGTTTCTTACTCACGGACGTTTCGTAAGCTTGTGAAACTTTTTCTTGGTTTCTAACAATAATATGAAGACTTTGACTACACAGAAATCGAGAAAACCATTCAAGCACATGTCATGGGACTACCTTGCACCCACCATTTAAAACGCAGTGCGCGACAAACTCGTGCTACGGAAATAACAAGCACCTAATGTTTCTCAAATGACGACCTGAACTAAAAAAAAAAATTATAATTAGCTACTTATCTTATTTGTATATAAGGAGGTATGTTCTTCATTGAAGAAAGTTCTGTCTGACGAGCGCTTAGGCGCGAAACTCAGAGTCACAGAGAATCGATGCGTCACGGGCTCTTGATCCTCTCCTGACTATCGCGCCCTTTTTTAGGTTACATTTGTCCTAGCGATTCAAATTACCAGGGCCTAATTTCACCAACAGATTCATAAACCCTTTCATTATGTTGAACTTCCATCGAGGCCTCAAAATCCGAATAATCAGACCCCGAAATAGAACTGCTTTCACTCGAACTACTGTCCGCCATATTTACTTTGCTTAATGTACACACGTGTAAAGCGTAAGGTCACATGATCGAAATCGAAGCGTTTACGGGGGATGCCTCACGAAGCTGCATTTAGGACAGTTTTCCCAGCAAAAAAACGCACAAAAAAAGCATACGAAGCACCTTGTATCTGTTTCAATGTGTTATCCGAGGCATTTAGACGGTATTCCGAAAAAATAACTTGTTAGCCGTCAGTTACCCTTTAAACGGCTAAATTTGAAAATCCAAATGCTGGTTTGCTCAATACCCTGCTCCTTTTCCAATTTGTGTTGCAAGAGTACGGTCGAGTTTCATCTACAACAATTTACTCGTATTGAGAACAAATAAGTGTTCTTACCCAAGCCTTGTTCGCTTTTGCACACGCGAAGAATTACGCTAGACAAGCTCTCTTCTAAAATTGGGTCATTGTTCCAGTAAGATCCTCACAATGCATCACAAGACACCCGAGGAATATACCACGAGACCACGACTTAAAAGTCATAAATAACGTAATTGAAAAAATAGCTCGAATGAAAATCTTGTATGACTCGCAGGTTTATTTGCAATAACAGACAACGAATACCTTGCATGGATACAATGCCTTTAAAGTATTACCAAAAAAAAAAAAAGTGCTCGATTCCCACGATGCGGAACTGCCATATTATTTGGATTGTCGCACTACTGGATTGTCACGTAGTCACAAAAAATACCACACCATTAATGATTATTTGCGTGAATTGTATCTTAGTTAATTATTTTCCCATGTAGTTAAAGCGGCTGAAATTCTTTACGAACTGATTTTGTTTTCAATTTGATGATAATGCGCGGTGGAATATTGAATGAATTTGAAAACGGGGCCTATCACAATGCTTTTAAATTACATAATTTGGTGCCGGCTCTAACTAGATGATGACATTCTTTTTGGCTCGGTCTGCGAAATCGAATTTTGTAAATTTGTGAAATTTATTCTGGAGTTGCCAGACCTCCTATCGATAGCTCTTCATTACTATGCCACTTACCTTATGATAATTAAGATTATCGACAGAACCACATGTCTTGTAAAAGACGGCAAATCAAGCCATTGATTGCTGTTTCTCTCAGGATACCAGGCAGGTATGTCAAAAACATATCCTTTCCTTTTGTAATTTTATACGAAATAGGAATAAATTGATAGCTGATAATTAATTTAAAACGGAGAAAATCTCCGTGACAACCAACTGTCTGAGATAATGCTCCGTAAGTAAAATTTGCACCGGCATTAGGATAAAACTAAGCTCTCTCTCTGTGCAAGTCAAGTGAAAAATACGCTGAAAAAAAAGCGGATGAAAAGAGGAATACAATATCACAGAAACTCAAAACGTACCTGAAAAGGAAAAGTTCGTTTTATTGTGCATAAGGCACTAATTCTGATGATTTTATTTATTAGGGGAACAAAAAACAGGCTAGATGCAAATTTAATTGCTGGTGGTGCGGGATTGTTTTGGTTGAAAAACTGCCATGAAGGGAAAAAATTAAGTTATTACTTTGCCTCAAGACCCACAATTTCCGTTTCGATTTTAAAGATCCATTTCAAGTAGAAGTTCATCCATGCAAATTTCGACCGAAATAAACTTGCGTACTGATAAAACGTGGCAGGTTTGGCAGTTGTTCAGTCAGTTACTCTTTTAGTATTCTTAATAACATAGCACAAAACAATTATTTCTCAAATAACAGATTTACTGCTAGAGCATTTGATGTACAGAAACATTCAACCCAAACCTTTATCAATTTAAGCTCAAAAACGACGCCTTTTCTAAATTTCCTGAGGCGGTTTTCCATACTAAATCTACGAAAGTTCCATCAAAAAAGTGCTGTGATCTGATTGCCTACGCCACTCTCTATCTTTTTCATGGTAGATAGTGTCTGAGAAAAGTGAATAACCTACCAGTGTGTGGTTGAAAAACAAAAAATTAAATAAAAAACACGAGCCTGTCTTGTGACTAATTTTTAAACCACTGTTGCAAAAACAATGAAATTATTTGCTTTTGATTTCTATGCGTGATAGTTCATTTTGGCTTCGCCCTCGTGAAGTACAACACGATTGAGTGTTCCTGTTGCCTGCCGCAACAGAGATAAGGTTTCTTTGGAAACCAACAACTTTCCTCGGTCTAGTGTCCAACGTTGAGCTTTTTGCAAGATGGTCAAGAGTTCGATTTTAATTTTCTACTGTGGTGATATATCTTTCGACAAGTAATGAGAGGTTTTGTCTACAAAAATGTGACTTAAAGGTTAAGTACAAAGCCTTAAAAAAAAAAGAGAAACACTCAGACACCTTTAATTTAACAAGGATGGCAAGTTTCAATAAAAAAAAATTGATGTATTAATGATGACGTAGTGGATTGACATTTTCACCTTCCTCGGAATGCTTGCAAGGATTTTCGTGTTCCTCTTAAGCAACAACCGACCCATAAGCATTAACTGCCTCGGAATCTGCTAAATCAGTGGATTCGTCTGATACCATTACCGAATCAAAACGTATTCTATTGTTTTAAACAGAATTATTTTGAGAAGCTCACTAAACTCATCAGAGGCGCTATTTAAACGAAAGCGGCGGTTTAAAACAAAAAAAAAACAACCGCGTTGCATCAAGGGTGGAAATGGGCCTTCACACGCTCTCGACTTGATTTTATTTATTTTTTTCTAGCAACCTTACGTTTAAGCACTGATCTATTCATGTTTGTTTATTCGGCTGTTTACATGATTCTGTTCAACTGATTCCAGCTGAGAGGTGACAGCCAAATTACTACTGCTCAACTTAGTACTGGGCCCTAAGGTCAACGCTAGAGCAAGGAAAAGGCGCTTCAGGTGGACACAGGAGCACTTTTGCCATCCTCAGGAGAAGAAATATGAATTCCATGTCGGACATGGCATCAGAAGAGAGGTGTGATGAAGTTTCGGAGGAAGACGATCAGCCAGCAGCTAATGTGAATCAAGTACATCACAAACCTCCGCCCGATGGAGGGTGGGGATGGGTCGTTTGTCTCGGAGCATGGATTGTTAATTTCTTAACAGTCGGGCAGCAGAATGCAGCTGGTGTGGTGTACTCGGCGCTTTTGAATGAATATTCCACAAAAAGAGGGGAAACAGGTAGAGTTGCTTACACATTCAACCAAACTAAAAGTGTTCAGTTTTCTTTTAAAACTCAATCTATTCATTTTATTTCTTTATATTTCGAAACGATTCTCCGGTAAACGGAAACTGAGATGTGAATCAATAAAAGCAGTATGTGTGCGCAATACAACGTTTGGTGGTTTTCTTCTCTATTTTGACCATCATCTCATTTTAATCGAAAGTAGCTTTTTCTGTCTTGAATTTTTTAAACTTCCCCTAAGGTCTGTCATATAATTTTCTAGCAATTTTTGCACAACGCAAGACGTGACTTGATAAAGTATGAGGTCAAAGCCCCTTTCTATTTTCGTAAAAGGTTGCTTTAGATTAAACCGAGTTTTACTCCTTATGATTTCCCATCAAAATCTGTTGGCTATATCCAATCAGAGTAAGAACTACATGTCCATTTAAAAGCCTGGCCCCGGTTGTTCAAAGGTGGGTTAAGATAACCCAGGGTTAGTGTGAAATTTGATTTCAGGTCTGAAAACTTTTAGAGAAAATTCAGTTCAAATATTTTTGCTTGCAATTTGATCATTAGATGTTCTAAAAAGAATAGTGAAAATTTTCCCTAAAATACTGGGTCCTGATAGATAGCTGATAGGAACAAGCAGCTTTTTTTAACGGCCTGACTAAAACGTCTCCATCGCGACATTCACAAAGCCCGTTATGTTGTTCTTTAGTCGTTGTCTTTTTACCAAGCCTACATTGCTAATCCAGGTCTATCGTGTCATTTCGTGGTCCACAGCTTTAAAACTCAACTTGGCCTAATGAGCATTGCCCATTATCTCTTGTAAAACCTTACTCTATTCCTTTCAATTGCTTGAAAGCGTTGAGGTAAAAAAATAACACATGAGAACAATATTATCTTTTTAGATGGACAAGTTTGACAATTGAGTAAATAGCCTATCATCTTTCTCAACAGCTTGGGTTGCCTCGCTGGCGTCCAGTATGATGTATCTGTTCGCTGCTGTGGGCACCTCTCTCGCTGAACGTTTCGGCAGCCGATTGGTTGTCATTATTGGATCTTTTGTCTCAGCTTCAGGCCTCCTTGCCAGTTCCTTCGCAACAACGCTCACACCCCTGTATGGAAGCTACGGAATTATATGGGGTCTGGGAGCAAGTCTGGGCTTATTTCCCTCGCTCGTGATACTAACAAAGTACTTCAGGAGGCGTCTTGCCCTTGCATCTGGGATGGCTTTGGCGGGAGCCGCGTGTGGCACCCTAGTATATGGACCTGTGATACAACTCCTTGTATCAAAGTACGGGATTTCAGTTACATTTCGGATTCTTGCTGCCGTTCAGAGTTTAATGTTTATGAGTGGATTGATATTTCGACCTGTGGAGAGCCATAAAGCCTGCCGAGACAGACGAAGAGAAAACAACGGCAACATTTTCAAGAACAAAGCGTACGTCATCTGGGTTGCTTCGCTTTGTGTGTTCATGCTTGTGTTCCTCGTGCCTTTTGTTCATTTGGTAAGTTAAGCAGACAGATAAATTGTTTCTTCCCTCACTATCCAAAGCCTCCACTTCCAAAAAGTTGCTTTCAGTTAGTTGAGAAAGTTCAGGTTTCCGATCTCTGTTTGATAATTTCCTGTGTTTCAGTCTCACTGAGAGAAAGTTTGTGTCTACTTCTCTGAAGCTGTTGGCCATATTCTTGAAACTAAAAAGCAACCTTTTACTCTCAAAGGCTGCTCGCAAATCTGCGTTAAATAAGAGTCTTGTACTCGAATAAGGCTGACGTTCCATCACAGTCTGGGCTTATCCCGTTTTCAGAGCCGTGAAGGAGCCAAAGTATAGCCTCTCCTTTGAATTTGTCCATAGCAGTGAACTAATCAGTTCCTCTGACAGTTTGCTGGTTTTCTTCTACACTACGTGAATGGAGAGGCAGGGAGGGAGAAAAGTCTCTTGCCAAAGAAAACAAGTGAACATAAATTTAATTTGTTCCCAAGAAAAAAATCTCTTCTATTTTGTAATTTAATCATGTTTACTGAACAAAATTAGGGCGACCTTGTAAATTGAACAGATCTCCAGTGATTCATAGTCAGTATTCATGTATCACATTAAGACGATGACTAAATCGACTTGGTTTCCGCGACTGTGGAGCGTTACTTTAATACCTGAATTTGTTCCTTCTTTGTTTAGGTTCGCTTTACAGAGGACAAAGGCATCAACACGACCAAAGCCTCTCTTCTAACAGGTTATATGGCCTTTGGAGGACTTACGGGAAGTATCGTCTTTGGCATTGCGTGCGATCATCCGCAATTCAACCGCCTCAAGGTCTGCCAGCTCTCTCTCCTTCTCATAGCTATTTCTTCCTCCCTTGTCACCATGGCGAATAAATATGTCTGGATTTGCGTGTACGCGTTCACTTTTGGTGTTTTTGATGGATGCTACGAAATGCTTGTTCCGGTGATCACGCGGGATATCGCAGGCTCTCAAAGAGTAGCGCGCGCCATCGGTTTGCTTTACTGTATGATGGCGTTTCCAAAAACGCTCGGCCCACCAATCGCTGGTTGGCTTTTCGACTTGTCCAATGACTACAGCGTTTCTTTTTACGTCACTAGCGCTGTAACCATTATTGCAACAGCCGTCATGTTCCTTCTCAATTGGGTTCCACTCCACAAAGATCGCATAGAGATGGAAGAAAATGAAATGCACTCTCCGAAAATCATAGACGAACCTTCTCACGAAAGTGTTTACGATGGCTTCGGGATAAATTTAACACCAGAAGCTGACGACTTTGTAACTCGCAGGTGGCTGCCAATTTACTGGGTAGAAAGTCGCGGAGAATATGAATATCGTGAAAAGCTGACAGTGCTGTGACCAAATTTAGTTGCAGGGAGAGTTTCCGGGGAGGAAAGGTAGTGTTTATGGACTAGTCGTCCAAAGAGCTCTCTACCGATCAACCAGCAAATTTAGCTCAAAACACTCAGACACGTTTTAAGTAATCTTTCTTTTAATTTTTTCTTCGCTGTTAAGAAATATCGACACCGAAACGAGGTTTGAAGTTTAAACCGTGTATGATACTGTTTTCAAGTTAAGAAACGAGTCACAAAATCAACATTTAAAAGGTGTTAAAAGCAAGCTGACGGATTATTTCGCTGATTTTCTGGCTGTTCGTGCAGTCACGTGACCTAGTACATGCTTGAGAACAGTCTAAGAACAAGAAAGAAAAAATATAGATAAATAAAAATCTTACCACATTTGTCTTAAATCGCGGGTTCACGTCGTTTCAGATAGGTTTCTTACAACACTGGAGGTGAATTTTCATTACACCTTTTTACTCATCAGCTCCAATGAAAGATGGTTATCAAAAAATTAGAAGAAACTTGAATAAGTAAACCCTGTATTGAAATCGTAGATGTAAAAAAGTTCTTAATGTTACTGCTTTCATCTAAAATGGCACTGACTACAACTGGCAAGCACTCGCACGTAAGGTTTTCCACGAGTATATCAATCAATCAATCAATCAACCAATCGGGTCTCTCCATCCGCACGTACGTCCGTCGATCCGTCCGTAGTATTAGAGTATAAGTCAACTTACCGAAATGCCGTCATCGGCCGAGAACTTGTGTCCACGCTCCGCCCAGTGACACGCTTCAACAGAACCTTCCTCCATGACGTGATGTTCTGAGGAGTAACGCATTCAACGCTTATTGGCATGTACACAACTTCCTAGAAAATAGCGCAAAAATTTGATTTTGTTTGGGCCGAAAAAAGTAAGACTGTGATTATCGTGAATCCAAAAAAAATTTGTCTTTATCAATTACTTGTCTCGCGTGGCTTGCATTCCAAAACTGTTCTCTTAAAGAAAGCTTACAGTTTATCAAACAGGTCCTATGTCATGTGTCACCGAGTAACGCAATCAACGCTGTCACGTTCAAGTACTCATCACATATTTGTAACCAACCCAACATAATGTCTTAAGTGTTTACCTCGAAGATGATTCTTAAGGTGCGTGACAACGCCAAAATTTAGATCACAGTCTGGCCACTGAAACAGAAATAAGTAGAACGGTAAAATATGAGAAGAGAAATAAGCTATTGGTAACACCTTGTATTTGATCAAGCTCAAAATAACACTAAGAAGTGTTGGAATCGTTTTTTCTTGAGCACAAGCCAAAGAAATGATTTTTTCGTTTACCTTGCAAGAATGGTAAACCCGTAAATCCAGTTTAACAGCCACAACAGACCCATCGCGTGCTCCGCTGTAAATCTGTTGGAAAGAAATCGAAAATATAATACAGCAAAGAATTTACATGGAGTGCTGGATGCTCTCAAGAATAATTCTGTACTTTAAAAGGCCTTTTAAATACCTGTTAGCTGACCGATTTTTCCCGAAAAAGGACCTTGGATGAAAATGCTATACCTTCTTTAACCTTTATACCCTGAGATCAATATGTATATTCCCCATACTGTTCTCCATACATTTCCTTTAGAATTGACGGGAGTAAATTGTTTAACAATCAGAGGCTTTTCTTAGTTGGCGATCATTTCCCTTATTCTCACGACCTTTAACCCTTGAATCCCATGAGTGACCGAGGCAGAATTTCTCCTTACAACAACAGTACAATATCAAGCAGGCAAGTGATGAGAAGGAAGAAGAATTTAAACTAGGGGATTGTAAGTTGATCCAATA